TGGTGGAATAAATTCAGAACTGAGTGAATGAATGGTGCGCCCCGACCGCCGCCACCCCACCCCGCCATCGCTCCCCCTTCCTTCCTCCAGACACTGTCTCGCGCCTGGTGGCAGCAGGACTGCTCCTTTCCTTCCTGAGGATCTGAGCACAAAATCTGCTTCCCTACCCCCACATGAGTGGCAGGATCCCTACTCTGAGAATTTTCTATCACTTCCCAGCTGGGCAGCTTTGGGCAAGTCACCCAGGCCCCCTCCGTTTCCTCTTCTCAAAAAATGGGAACAGAGACTTCCCTGGCAGTCCAGTGGTTAAGACTGTGCTCCCAGTAGAGGGAGTCATGGGTTCAATCTCTGGTGGGGGAACTAGAATCCCAGGTGCCACGCCTTGCAGCCAAAACAAAAAAATCACCCCCCCACAAAAGAAAAAAAGAAACAACATAAAACACTGTATAGCAACTATACTCCGATAAAAACAAACAAGCACAAAATGTTTAAAAACGGAAACAACACTGGTGTCTGCTCCTAGGGTTGTTTCCTCGAGTAACTGAATGAATGTCGGTCCATAAAGTGCTCAGAGCTTTGCGGGCACACAGGACGGCAGCACTTTCTAATCTCTACCCACAGGTGGCTGGGCTGAATGAATGAGAGGTGGGCGAGATACACACAGGATTTGGAAGAGCCCGTTCTGCAGAAAAGAACCTAAAATAGCTCATTAGTTTTACACATCGATTCCCTGTAGAGATGACAATGGTTCTGAATGTATTGGGTTAAATGAAATATGTTCTTAAAAGTAATGCCACCTACTTGTTTTATTTTTATTTATTTATTTTTGGACATGCCCCATGGTATGTTGGATCTTAGTTCTCTGACCACGGGATGAAGCCCACAGCCCCTACATTGGAAATGTAGAGACTTAACCACTGGACCACCAGGGAAGTCCCTGGTTTTTTAAATTTCTCAAGAATGTGGTTGCTAGAAAACTTTAAATGACATTTAGAATTTTACATTGCCTTGTAGTTCTACTGGAAAACACTGGGATAGGTGCTCAGTGACTAAATAACAACAAAAAGCACACATAAACTGTGGAGCCTTTTTTAATCACATTCTCTTGCCGCTGTACAATATGTCTATTATTTTCAAAGTATTTGTTAGCAGCTAAAATGCCTTGTGTATTGTCTGCTTGTTTATCTGTTTCTCCTAGATCTCTCTCTCTCTCTCTCTCTCTCTTTTTCTTTATGGCCACACACGTAGCTTGTGAGATTTTAGTTCCCTGACCAGGGATCAAACCTTGGCCCTTGGCAGTGTGAGCACTGTGTCCTAACCACTGGACCACCAGGGAGTTCCCTTAAATGGTTCCTCTCTGAGGTAGGAATTTGGTCTTGCTTATTCGTGTGTCCTTGTGTCATAGAACAGTGCTTGGTACACTGCAGGTGTCCAGTAAGTATTTGTGAAGTGAATGAATGAATGAATGGAAGGAATATGGGGAAGTTTGGGGAGGGAGTGAAAGATTCATTAAGTCCCTTTTACCTGCAGGATTGATGCTGAAGCTGAAGCTCCAATACTTTGGGCACCTGATGAGAAGAGCCAACTCATTGGAAAAGACCCTGATGGGAAGACTCATTGGAAAGATTGAAGGCAGGAGGAGAAGGGGACGACAGGATGAGATGGTTGGATGGCATCACCGACTCAACAGACATGAGTCTGAGCAAACTCCGGGAGTTGGTGATGGACAGTCTGCATGCAGTCCATGGAATTGCAAAGAGTCCGACGCCATTGAGCGACTGAACAACCTGTAGGACCCAATACTGACGGTAATAACCCTATGACCACCAGGGGGCGCCCGAAACCAGGCTACCAATTCTAGTGGCGGCAGCTTTGGTTTCCCATCCTGCAAAATGGGAATTTTGAGCCCCTGATGAGGGACACGGAAGGATGAAGCCTGAGGAGCAAAAGCCGCTGCCCCATCCCGATCCTGGCCCCTCCTCTGCACTTCCAGTTGTCTGAGTCAGTGGTTCTCAAACTCTATCAGGCATCCGAAACGCCTTGAGAGGCTCAGAGAAAGATTATGAGTCCCCGCACCCCGAGTTTTTGATGCAGGAGCCCTGGGGGGCGGGGGGCCGAGAACCTGCATTTCTAGCAAGCTCCTGGTGGATGCTGATGGGGGCAGGTCCGGGCACCTCGTTTTGAGAACCATGGATATAAATCTTTTCTCAAGGCAGATTAAAAATGAATCAGAACCAAAGAACTCCTCTTGGAGCCTTTTAGAAAAATGGTGGCAAAATACACAAAGCATAGTATTCACTCGCACAGCTTGGCTGCATTCAGTACCTTCACATTGTTGTGCAACCATCCTCACCATCATCTCCAGAACTTTCTCGGCTTCCCAAACGGAAGATCTGTGTCAATGAAACACTGACTCCTCACCCCTCCCCCACCATCTACTTCCTGTCTCTATGGCTCTGACTCCTCCGGGGACCTCAGGTGAGTGGAATCAGACACTATTTGTCCTGTGTCTGGCTTCTCTCATTGAGCATCGTGTCCTCAAGGTTCATCCATGTTGCAGTGTGTGTCAGAATCTCCTTTTTAAGGCGGAATCATATTCCAGCGTATGGGTCGACCACATAGGTGTATCCATCATCTGTTGATCCCCTCCCCTGAGTTGGCTCATTTCTAACAGCTAAGCTGGGGGATCCCTCCACCTGATCCTGGGTCCTATTCTCTATGTCTTCCCTTTTCTTCATTTGTCTCCTTGTTTTGATAGAGAATATTTTAGAAGCATCTTTCTGATCCCTGGGTCTGACTGGCTGCTCTGTCTTGCTGTTTCCCCTTCATCGCATCACCCAGCACCCCAAAGCCCAGTCTTAGCCTCCCGCTGACCTCTCCAGCAACATGACAGTGAAGAGAAGGGTCACGTGTCTGGAGCTGGACAGGCCTGAGTGAAAACATCCCAGCTCCGACCTACACCACCTGTGTCCTCGGACTCCCCCACCTGCCTCCGAGCAGAAATCATTAATAATGAATAAAACTACTAATAGCAACATTTATTATTCCCCAAACCATGACTTCAGAATGAATAACTGCCTGACCGTAGCACTGGTGAGCTCACCACTGCACTTTAATAATATTATCATTCTTAACACAATAAGAAAAGAGGCTGCTTCACAACGAGGTATTTTGTGTGATTCCAAACATGTGGCTTCAGCTCTCTGGGTTCTCATGTGTGAAATGGGGATGATAATAGTTTCCATCTGGTTGATCAACATTATCAAGTATTTATTGTCTTCTAGGTCTAATGTTTTGTGTTAGGTAATGGGGACAAAACTCAACCTTCAGAAAACTAATATGGCATTCGTCTCGTCGCTTCATGGCAAATAGATGGGGAAACAATGCAAAAAGTGAGTGACTTTATTTTGGGGGGGGGCTCCAAAATTACTGCAGATGGTGACTGCAGCCATGAAATTAAAAGATGCTTACTCCTTAGAAGGAAAGCTATGACTAACCTAGACAGCATATTAAAAAGCAGAGACATTACTTTGCCAACAAAAGTCCATCTAGTCAAAGCTATGGTTTTTCCAGTAGACATGTAGAGACATGAGAGTTGGGCTATAAAGAAAGCTGAGCACCAAAGAATTGATGCTTTTGAATTGTGGTGTTGGAGAAGACTCTTGAGAGTCCCTTAGACAGCAAGGAGATCCAACTAGTCAATCCTAAAGGAAATCAGCCCTGAATATTCATTGGAAGGACTGATGCTGAAGCTGAAGCACCAATTGGGCCACCTGATGCAAAGAACTGACTCATTGAAGACCCTGATGCTGGGAAAGATTGAAGGCAAGAGGAGAAGGCGATGACAGAAGATGAGATGGTTGAATGGCATCACCGACTCGATGGACATGAGTTTGAGTAAGCTCCAGGAGTTGGTGATGGACCAGGAAGCCTGCAGTGCTGCAGTCCATGGGGTTGCAAAGAATTGGACACGACTGAACAACTGAACTGAACTGAATGGGGCTATAATAGTAGTTTTAAAAAAATGAAACAGGGACTTCTCTGGTGGCCCAGTGGCTGAGACCCCATGGTCCCAATGCAGGGGGCCCGGGTTTGATTCCTGGTCAGGGAACTAGATCCCACATGCCTCAACTAAGACCCAGTACAGCTAAATAAATAAATAAGTATTTTTTTAAAATAAAAATCAGGTCTCTGACTTTTGGGGCTATTGCATATAAAGGCTTTAGCACTGAGCTTGACACTTAAGAATGTTATTATTATGTATAACTAATTTTTACCACATTATAAACACACATGTTATATATCATAAATAATATTTATTTTACTTATTAATATTACTTATCATGATACCATATCACTATTTAATAATGTTAATACATCAATACAAAATCACACATAATTTGTATGTTCTGCATAATGAAAAAAATTAAAGTTACTTATTATTACATTATTACATAACCATTACTGACATCAAATGTAAGCATATTTAATATAAGTATTACTAGTATGATGATTTTAAACTGTAATTGTTTTTTATATTCGTTATAAATAATGCTCTTAAGCACTACATCAGTCTGGAGAAGGAAATGGCAACCCACTCCAGTATTCTTGCCTAGGATAATCTCACTGACCGAGGAGCCTAGCGGGCTACAGTCCTTGGGGTCACAGAATCGCACTCGACAGAGAGATAGCACTACAGCATTATTGGCAGAAATGGCGCTGCTCTTACACTCCCTGGGCGCGTGAGGGCGCTCGCGACGCTACCGGGGACTCTGACGCACGCAGGCCCCGCCCCCGAGTCCCTATTGGCGACGCGCGCAGTGCGTGATGGCGCTGCGCCTGGCCCCGCCCCGGGCCCGCCCCTCGCTCCCTGGGCCCGGCCCCCTCCCTCCGCTCTCCAGCCGGCGGCGGTTGTTGTTCAGCGGCGGCGGCCGCAGCTCGGGTCGCAGCCTCCGGCCGCCCGGCCGCCCGCCAGCCCGCCGGCGGGTCCGCGCGCGGCCATGGAGCTGGAGGTGCCGGACGAGGCGGAGAGCGCCGAAGCCGGGGCCGTGACCTCGGAGGCGGCCTGGGCGGCGGAGAGCGGTGCGACAGCAGGTAACGGTTCCGGACCTTCCTCCCCTCCCCGCTCCCCGAATGGACCCGCCTGACCCCCCTGCCCGGGCCCAGTGGACCCGTCCGAGCGCTGGAGGGGCGTCGGGACCCGCGGCAGGAAGGCCGGAACGTTCCACTCGGGGGCGCTCGCGGGGGGGATGGAACGCCCCACTCCGGGGCCAGGGGACGCGTTGCCTGGGGCCCGAGGGAGGACGGAACACCCTGCCTCGGTGGCTCAGGGGTGGCGCCGCCCTTTCCTGGGGTCCTTGGGGAGAGCTTTGGGTCTGGGGGCGAGGGTGGGTGCAGGGCCCCATTCTGGGAGGCTGTGGGTGGAGCAGCCCGGGTTGGAGGCGCGCGGGGAAGATGGGTCCTCACCTCTGGGCGGGGGGAGGCGACCCCCATTTAGGACGCGCCATGAGTGAGTGGGTGCCCTGCCTGCCTCCTGCTGAAGGTGCTGGGGGACGACATCCCACCCGGTTTTGTGAGAGGGCTGCTCTACGCGTGGGATTGTGGAGTACCCCCGTTCCGGTGAGGAGCCCTGCCTCCTAAGGGTGATACGGACCCTCTGCTCCCGGCCGCCCACCTTGCTAGTGTCAGCGCCCGGGCCTCACCTCTTGCTCTGCAAGCGGGCACCCTCTGGGCCCATCTTACTGGTCGTGAAGGGCAGGGGCTGCTGTGGTGGGAATGGGGGGTCTCGAAGGCCAGCCTCCTGACTACCTTATCTTTCTTTGTGGAATTCACCAGACCAGGTTTTTAGTTCACTGGCCGTTCTTTCCCTTCCTGGGCCTCAGTTTACTTGCTCTAACAGGAGGGGGCTAGGGGTTGACATCTCCAGACACTTTCAGTGCCAGGGCTCTGCAAGCAGGTGGAGAACAGGAGAGGCCCCAGCCTTTTCCCTGGACGTTGGGAGGGGCCTGTCGTGGCTCTGTAGGGGGTACTGCTTTCCCCTGCTCCTCTCCTGGGCCTGTATCCCTTGCCCTTCCCTAGAGCAGGTTTCTGGAGGGATGCGGCCTCACCCAGCCCTGCAGGCTCCAGACAGAGCCCAGCCCCTTCCTGGAGGGGCCGGTTCCTTCTTGGTCCAAATTTCAGGCTCCCAAGTATGAAGTTTCCGGATCTGCAGAATTCTCCATTTCCCTCTCCCTCCCCCCTGAGGCAGCCCTCGCTGGCGAGTCCCTGTGGACACCCACCTGGGGCACCCATCATCCTCCCCCGGGCCTCCGGAAGCTTCCATGGCAGGCGGGAGATACTGCACTGCCCAGGAGTTGGGAGAAATGTCTGGAGGAAGAGCTGGAGCGGGGAGCAATCTCCAACCCCCCCCAACCCACCCCAGGCTCCGGAGCACTCCCACTGCTCCCCTTCCTGCTACCATCTGGAGCTGCGTGGTGGATGACCCCGTTCAGCTCCACCATCCGGCCCCCACGCCCTGCTTCTTTGCTGGCAGCGATACCCTGGCTCACCAGCACCAGACAGTGGAGGAACCTGAAGTCCCTTCTCAGCCCCCTGACCTCCACCAGCAGTTCTCTGCCCTATATGGGCAGAGACAAAACAGCCTAGGACGCAGTGACCACAGGAAAGCCACACAGCAAATGTCTGTCTTATCAGGGGCTAGGTGATGGGGGCAGATAAAGTTCCAGGGCCCGGCTGTGGTCGGGTCTAAGCACAGGGACTTGACCAGTGAGAACCCGCCCCACCCACCCCCCCGACCCCTGCCTGTCCCCAAATCCGCAGAAACCCAACTCCCACAGCTGATGGCTCATTTCACTCACTATAGGGTCAAGAACTGCCTCTCCTTTGCTGAACCCATTTCTGTTAAGCTTGGGGAACAACTGTCCACGCCTTTCCTGCTGCTCACACAGACGCGTAAATACACAGCCGGGGCAGCTCATTTACCAAGGGGTTCGGAGGGTACCCTCACACCTTGGCATTAGTGACGGTTGGGGCTGGAAAGTTCTTTGTTGCGGGGACACCATCCTGGATGCTGTGGGGAGTGGAGCAGCATCCCTGCCCCCACTCACTCTATGCCAGGAGCCCCCCAGTCCTGATGACACACAGACCTCCTCCCCAAACATCACCCGTGTTCCCTGGAGATGCAGCCACCCAGGGTGAGGCCTGCTATACTTCCCGTATCATTCTGTGCCTTGCTGGCTTTTTTATCCACAATATGTACCCCCCCACCGCCCCCACATTGGTATCAGTTCTTTTCGGAGAGAGAGAATACAGCGCTATGATTGAGAGGGTGGAAACTTTGTAGCTTGCCTGAGTTCCACTTAGGTGCTCTGTGACCTCCAAGGTCAAATGCCTTGATTTCTCTGAGCCTCAGTGTCTCCATCTGTAAAATGGGGCCACGCCGCCAGCAGTACCTGAATTAGCACATCAGCAAGTGGATAGTGCTTGGGGAACTTTAGCAACAGCCCACGCCAGTTAGGCCTTACTGACTCAGAGGGCTTCCTGGTGGGGGACAGTTGGGTGGTGTCTGGAGCTTGCTTTGTTGTCACAGCCGTACTGCAGTAAACACCCTTAAACGTGGCCTGGTGCTGTGGTGCTTTCATCTCTAGACGTTGGAGTCCCTGCCTCTGAGTGACTGGGTCAGGGGCAAGCAGGTTGACGCTTGGGGGCTTTGTGGAGAGTCCCGGCAGGGCTGAGAGAGCCTGACTGTCTGTGTGCCCACAGCCTTGCCAGCTCCACTCCGGATGTTATCAGCCTCGGTCACTGGGGCCAATCTGATGGGAGTTAAATGTTAGTGGCGGTTAGAATCTGGTTACTTTAAACGTCTGGGTTCCCAAGGCCTGGTCCAGGGAACGCCTGCTGGGGTTCTCTGCTGGCTCTTGGGGGCTGTGTGGGGTGTCTGGCTCCAGCAAGGATCTCAGGGAGAGCTGGGCCTTGTGGGGGCCCATGAGCTGCCTGTGGACTTCGGCTGTGCTATGGTCTGGTGCTTCTGAGCTCTTTCCCTCCTGCCCTTCTTGCTACCATGATATTTCAGAATAGTCAGCTTCATCCCACAGACCCCCAACCCCTTCCCACGTTTAACTTGGTGGCAGATTTTGTCGGCTTTGCCTCCAAATGGACTGAAAATCCACCCACTTCCCACCCCCCCCCCCCCCGCCTCCACATCCTCATGGCTGGCCTGATCTCCTGTCTCTTCCTGTGTTCCCTGCCACTCAACTCCAGAAGGCTCTGCCCCTTCTCTGCCACAGCCCTCCAGGGTCCCAAAAAGCCCAGGTCCTCCCCAAGGCCATGCATGTCTTGCCCTCCCCTCTTCCCTCTCTCCCCTTCTCTCACTCTGTAACAGACACCCGAGCCTCCACCCTGCTCCTCCAGCACACCAGACCCAGCCCTGCCCCAGGGCATTTGCACCTGCTGTGCTCTCTGCCTGGGATGCTTGTCTTTCATATCCTTTTCTTTGCTTCTGGAGCCCTTCCAGGTTTTGCTCTGACATCTCCTCTCGGGCTTCCCCTGATGGTTGAGGGGCCTGAAGGAGGGGCAGGAAGACAGCACGGCCCAGGCAAAGGCCTGAGTGGCTTGAAGAGCAGTGGGGGCCATCATGGCTGGGCGGGCGGGGCCTCCTCATGAGGCCTCCTCTGCAGCTGTGGGTAGATGGTAACCTGGGACTGTGGCCGCCCTCGTCCCCTCGCTGAGTCAGCTACAGCCTTTGGAGGCAGAAGGGTCCCAGTTCTGATCCCACCCTGGCCCCTTTCTAGTGATGTGACATCCGGCACTTGGGCCAGCACACTCAGTCCTCTCTGTAAAGCAGCCTCGGGAGCTCGACCACCTTTGCCAGCTGGGGACCCTCTGCCTTGGTGTCTTCATCTGTGAAATGGGCAGATGACTGTGCCTTTCTTGGAGGGCTGGGCCAGGCGGATTGACATGTAGAGCCCTGGAAGGATGGGTGGAGACCTGCTCAAGGGACCACTTCCCTCAGAACCTGGGCAGGCGGGGCCGATGTCCAACTCGGCTCATGGGGTCGTGTGGTTATTTGTCGCTCTGTGCCTGGTGTGGCCTGTTGGACGTTCATGGAGGCTGGCTGGGGGTGGGGGTCAGGTACCAGGACTCCCTCGCTCTCAGGTTGGTGGGGGTCAGGGTGCGATGGCAAGCAGGTGAGACTGGGGTCATAGACTGAGGCCCTAGTCCATCCCACCTGCCAGTCTTTGTTGTGTCTCATTGGTGCTTGGCCAGGCCCTGTCACTTGCCTGTTGTCCACAGGGTATCCAGCTGCAGCGGCAGAGCTGAGTGTTGAGATGGGCTCGTGGCTGTGATGTCGGGGACACTTGCTGACTGGTGCTCTGTGGAAGATGCCTGCCAACCCCTGAGTCAGACCACACTGGTTCCAAGGGAGCTGTGTGGGCAGTGAAAGGGGCATTATGGCCCCAGGGGGTGACCGGGAGCTGCTGCCTTGGAGCTGTCAGGGGAGCAGGTGACCCGAGGGAGAAATAGCAGCCATGTCAAACATTTAGGCAGGAGATCAGCTGTGCAAAGGTCCTGGGGCAGGAATGAGGGTGGTGGGGCTGGCCTCACTCAGGTTCTGGTCTGAGTCCAGTTGATGGCACTGGTGGGTGTGAGCAGGGTGGTAGGTCCCACTTCAGAGGGATCACACTTGGGCGGCTTGGTAAGGAGAAGGCTGTGGGGCTGGGGGCCTGGACGGGGGTCTTGTGGGGGTGGAGGAAGATGAGGGAGTCTGCACCCTGGAGTTGATGAGGGCAGATAGGGAATGGCCCAAGAAGGAGCCGGTCTGGGGGTCCAGGCTCTGGCAGGCTTGTGCTGATGGGGGAAGGGCAGGTCTGGTGGGCTTCCTGGGACTCCCGAGGCAAGTGGAGGCCCACGGGACCTTGGGTGGGGCGGCCTGAGGCTCGGCCTGACTCACTCTTGCCTGGGCCAAGGACTGTGTACCTCTTTCCACCTCGCAAGGTGAGGACAGTGGAGTCCCAAAGATTTGGTAGGGCAGAAAGAGGTGGGACCCACCTCCCCTGGCAGCGCTTATTTACCAGCCTGGGGGCTGAGGAACCAGA